GTCAGAGGAGCGTGGGAAATACAAGAGGATGAGACTGGCACCTCCCTGAGGAATTCACACTGTTGTGGCTGGCTGGCTTTGGGGCTGGGGTTTTCGTCTGGGGAAATTCTTTCTAGAGGTTGTAGCTAATAAACAAAGCTGAGCTGAATTTGCATTGTCTCTTGGAGTTCCTTGGCCTAGGCCTGACAGTCTGGCACATTGTGAGACACCATGTTACCTTGGTGTTACATTGGACCAAACATTAACTTTTAAAAGACACTGTTGCAATTTAAAGCAAAAGATCTCCGCTCATAATAATTTCCTCAGAAAGTTGGCTGGAACTATCTGGGGTGCCCATCCCATTACTTTATGAATAGCCGCCCTTGCATTGTGTTACTTGGCAGCAGAGTATGCCTGCCCCTTTTGGGGCCAGTCTGCGCACTCTATATATGTGGATGGGGTGCTTAGTGATACCTGTTGCATCATCACTGGATGTCTGCGCCCCACTCCACTAGATAAACTATATCTTGGCAGGAATAGCTCCACCAGGTGTTAGAAGGAGTGTGGCACAAGACCTGGAATATGGAAAGGTGTTACATGATCTGGCACACCCTTTATTTGGCCAAGTACCTCCTACAAAAAGATTGAAATCAAGAAGGAGCTTTTTAGACTGCACCAAGGAGATTGTTACCACACCTCAAACAGAGCAATTAAAAAGATAGAAATCTCAAGCAAAACGTCTTTATGATTGGATAAAACCACTTGAGGAGTTGCCTGGAGGTTCGGAGGAGGAGTGGACAGCTTGGAGATGTTTAAATAGACTGTGCACTGGTTTGGCTAGAACTAAAGACCATATAGAAAAATGCGGGTTTCTCCCTGAGCACGAGGATATTTACTGAGAATGTGGCACTATTCAAACAACTATCCATCTTTTACAATGCCTCTTGGGACCAACATGCACACAGAATGACTTGCTGGCTGGAAATACTTTTGCCATCAGTTTGGCCTGGCACTGGGCAAGAATTATATAAATCTACACTTTTATTAAAGTTTTCAATTTTTTAAAAGTTAGATTAATAATTTCCCCTTTTCTAGTTACTGTGTTTCTGACATGAGACAAGCCATGTAAATTTTAACACTGTTTCTTACCTATGCCTTTCAATTTCTGATGAAGTACTTAAACTAGTAACCTTTAAGCGGAAGGTTCAAATTCCTTAATACAGGTTGAATTTCAGATGTAGCACAGGTATAAGGACCAAAAGCTGTGATGGAATAAATTGCTTAGAAATACTCTGAGGTAGATTAAGATGAGCTTTAAATAAAACACCAGAGGTTTCAAAAGTAGCATCAGAGGAGATCCCAATTAATTTTTTTTTAGTGTAGCATTTAGTGTAGCATTTTTTAGAACAGTTTCATCATCTCTGTCTGTGTATGTAAGAGAAGAGAGGAGAAGACCAAACTAACTTTGGGAAGTGAGACAAGTGAAAATGACCACAGAGGAAACTGGATCAAGCTGTGTGGTAGGCTAAACGAACGTTTCTGTGTGGCGGTCAACCATATGTAGGTCACTCATAGAAGGGAGACAATACTTCTTAGACATTCCCATATTCAAATGTTTATATTCTGTATTTCCATTCCATCACCACCACCCCAAACACACACTATTTTGGAATGGAATTAGCATTGCTTTAGCCAGTACGAGTAACTAAGTTAAGGTTGGGGAAGACTGCTCCCCATCATCCCCTTAATATGCCTTCCATTGTATCATTGGTTGAGCAACCAGGCTATGCCCCAAAAGATACCATAGGAGCAGATGAGGTTTTGCACTCTGCCCCATAAAAGGAATGGTAATAATATATGCTTTAAAGTGGTCAGATGATCATTTTCTCCAATCCAAAAAGGCCAGTTGCAAGAGGCTTGCTTTTATGGGCCAACAGTGCTTATCTTTTTCCAAAGAGAAGTAGAGCTCCCAAGGCTGATGCAGTTGCTGTAGAGTTGATGGGATCCAGCTCCAGCAAGCAAGGAGTTAACTAACCAGCCCTTTAAAAGAGGAAATGAAGGCATCCACTCTCTGATTGCACTGACAGCCGCTGCAGAATTATGACTAAAAGCAGAGAAGTTTCAAGGAGCGTCCAGCTTTGGAGCTGATTTACTTTTCTCTTGCTGCTTTTGAAGATTAAAATGCTGCACAAGATAGCTTTGCTGGCCACTGTTACCATTTTGGGTGTGCTGGAACAAGGTAAGGAGCATGTTACAGAACCAAAGTGAACGTAGCTTTCCACCTTACAAACAAAATAGACATGTGAAGGTAACTAGGAGATGTACATTGTATAGAAAATTTAACAGTAAGTGGGCAAAGAGCCAAAATGATTTGTGATATTCTGGTAAATCTTTTATAAAATAGAAAATAGCTCATGGTTTCTGTCAGCTATTTGGAGGGGCAAAGGACAGAGGCTGGATTATAGTAACAGTGATTGTGAGTTGCCAGTGGTATAGATGCTTAGTTGTCCATTTCAAGAACAAAAACGGGAAAAAGAAACAAAACTGGGGGGGGGGGAATCACTTCCCCCCAAATCAAGGGAATATTTTGCTATTAAATGTAAGCTTACTCCATAGAAAGTCTTCTGGAGTTCAATGGGACAATTTAAGCAGGGGAAAAGCCCAATGTGTTCAGGAGTTAAACCTAAGTACTGCGTTCATTTAGGTAAGCACAAGACTTTGTATGACGTTGAGATGCATAAGCCATCCTTTGCTTGTGGCCTTCCAAAAGTTCTGATGCAGCCTCCCCTCCCTTGTAGTGCTGAATGTCTTTCTGCCATGTGCTTGGTTTCTCCCCACTGCCCATTCTATGCAATCACAAACTGGCAGAGTTGGAAGCTACCTAGGAGATAATCCAGTCTAAGTGCCTGCCCAGTGTAGAAGTCCACTCCTAGAACATCCCTGACAGAAGGCCACCCAGTCTCCGTTTGAATGCCTTGAGGAGAGACACCACCACTTCCCAAGGCAGTATGTTGTGTTGCCACACAGCTTCACTGTTTGGCATTTTTTCCTGAGGTCCAGCCAAAACCTACTTCCTTATGATTTAAACCCACTGTTCCTTGTCCTGTCTTCTAAACACTTTTGTCCCATCTTCTACATGACAGCCCTTCAGCTATTTGAATAACTATTAGGTCTTCCCACAGTTTTCTCTCCTCCAAGGTAAACATTCTGAAATTTCCTTGTGAATTTTTCTTTCCTGGTTCCTTATCATCTTGGCTACTGTCTTCTGGACCCACTCTAGTGTGTAATGTTCTTCCTAAGCTGCTATGCCCAGAACTGGACACAATATTCTTGGTGCTATTTGACCAATGCAGAACCAAAAGGATGAAGAACAATAATTTTTGGATTGCCCTCTCTCACTTTCCCTGGGCAGGTGGCAAGGCTGATGAAGACGAGATGGTGGGAGTTGTGAGGAGAATATTGGTTTGGGACAAACTTCCTTAAGTGTGCTTTGTAAATGCTTCCCTAGCAGGTGACAAAGTTGCCCTGTAATATGTTATAAATTTCCTACGACATTCTGGCACACTTCAAATTCCATAGTTGATCCATATGTAAAAAATGCATTTGATATCCTTTGTTTCCATTCTTCTTCTTGCATGACATAACAATGTCTCATCTTACATTTTCTATTGTAACATGGCTGTGCACATCATACAGCATTCAAAACTTATACCATAAATAAAATCCAGCTTTAAATTAAATGTCCTATTTTGTTTGGGCTTTATTCTGTAGTTGTTTTAATATTAAAATATTGCATCTTTTTTACTATATGGTTTTAATTTCCATTTCCTAAATTAATTGAAGTATAATTATGGATCAGATTACACCATCAATCTGGGTAAGGTTGCAAATTATTGTTTTTTGGCCTCTGTTAATTATTTTGGTTTCAGCATTTTGTCTCTGAATGTCATCCGGCCTGACTGACTTGCTATTTGGAGATCACTAGAGGCTTCCTTGTGTGTCACTCCCAAATGGTGGAATGCACATCCTTTAGAATTACATTAGCCTGAGTGAAAATGGCAGATTTTAAAGGTGTGAAGACAAAGCTTTTTAATTTTGTCCATTGTATGAAGTGGTCAGTGGAAATATTAAATAAAATTTAAAAGTATATATTTTATTGATTTAATATTTCTAGGGTGACTTTTGTCAGTATTTTATGTTATGTTTTCTTTAATATTTACTTGTATATAGCCTTGAAGGTGGTGTTGGCATACAATAATAATTAATTAAGAAATATTACATTAGCACTTTTAAGATGGTATGATTGTAGGTTACAGTAGTTACAGAATATATTATTTTATGTATTTCAAATGTTTATTAGAGGCTCTGTAACTATTAGCTGCCAGGCTACATACAATAGAAATACAGACTTTTAAATTTAATTTTTAAAAACCATAAAATAAAACATTGAAATAGATGCCACAAAAAACATTTTAAAATACTGCAGAGATAAAGTTCAATATAATCCTAGGACAGCA